GAAAGTAAATATTCTACGCTATTACAAACATTAGGGGGATGAGGTGTACAAATTTACAAATGGGGATTGCAAGAAATTAAAGTTCTAATTATCTATTACAACCATATTGAAATAATGTACAAGAATTAAAATGTAAAGTTGATTGGGTTTTTTTTTGGTTAAGAGAAGAAATAAATTTGCTTAAGAAAATATTTTAGCCTTTTTGTTTTTAAAAGAAATAAAGCAAAGTGCATGAGTATAAGGTATTTTTGGTGTTTTTTTATTAATGAAAATAAAAGTGAATGAAAAAATAAAAAGAGAATAAGATTCAGAATAAGCGTGTTGTTGAAATAAGAGAGAGCAGAAGTTCTGATTTAAGCACGCTGCAAATCAGGAAGAAAATGTTAGCAAAAAAGGGAAAACTAGAAGTTTTGGATCCGGACGCACTAACGTTCTGAGGTTGCTGGGAACAGAGGATAGTCTATAAGTTCTGATCTCCTGAGAACCTAGAAGTTCTGATTGCTGAGGGAGTCTAGAAGTTCTAGTGCAGCTAGAAATCTAGAAGTTCTAATGTCACTGGCAGGTCAGAAGTTCTGGTTTTTTGAGAGATCCTAGAAGTTCTAATGCAACTGGAAACCTAGAAATTCTGATAATGGGCAAATGAGGTGTCAATGATGATGGGAAAATCTAGAAGTTCTGGTACAAGGTCACTATTTTGACAAACAAATGGGAGGGGGGTTTATCTAGAAGTTCTGGTCCAGGGTTATTGTTTGACAAATAATGGGGTAACAAATGTCAGGAAATAAACATAAAAAGGGTGTTTCTGGGGGCTAGAACTCAGGACCCTTAACACTAATGTTTTATGCGCGCGCTCTCTACCACTGGGGTGGCTATACATCCGGTATTAGAAGCAAAAACATAAACATATATTAGAAAGTAAGTTCTAATGATGAACTTCATCTCCTTCTTCATGCCAACCAGAGTATCTGCAACTTAGTCATTTCTCAACAAAAATGGTAAATGAAAACATAGCAGTTATGGAAAATTTTACCATGGTTTCAGAAGTACAAAACATCAAAATTGTAAATCAGAAGCAAGCATGAATTTTGCTAATCATAATTCTGAACCCTAATTTCCTCAAGAAGTTCTGATATGAAATTCTCTCTACTTAGGCCATATACATGAAATATATAAATATGTGCAGAATCAGAGCCATGATATCTATATTGTATCTTTGAAAATACAAGCCTAACAATGCCTAAGTAATGAGACAAAAGTCAGAAGAAACTTACCTTGCAGCTGGAAACTGTTCTGTGAACTAGAGCCCGGTTCCGACTGCTATGATGTTCTGATAAGTTTTCTCAAGTTCTCAGAAAGCTGAAGTAACTCTTAGCTTGAGCTATGAATGGTGGGAAAGTTCTGGAGCAGCCAAGAAGCAAAGTTTTGATTTTTTGAAATGGAGATTGGTGAATACTGTTTTACAGACTGAAAACAGAAGTTGGGAAAGCTTCTATATGTATTCTAGAAACTTGTATGGATGATTTGGTCTAGGAACACACAAGAAAGATTAGAGTTTGAATGTAAAAAAACTAGAAATTAGTAGGTTTTTGTATTTGGGCCGCAGTTTCAGGTTCTTAGAATTTCAGCAAGGTTTCAAGGCTTTTTCCAATCTTTTGACCTCTCCTTAACAGTTGCAATTGAATTTCAATTTATAGGCAAGGATTTAGGAGCTTGGAGAAGTCAAGAGTACAACCATCATATGCTATAGCACTGACTTGTTCTTGAAGCAAGCTTAGACAAGTATGGTTCAAGGAACAAAGTAGAGTAGTTAGCAGCTTTAGCCGCGCCTAATCTGAATTTGTAAGCATGATTTATGGAAAAGTACCCTCACAAGCAAAAGTAAAGCATTGGCCCAACATAAACTTTGTACAAAAGTTTGCTTTTCAAGGACAACAATTGTAATTTTATGCCACATGTGGGAAGATCCTTTGGATAAAGACTCAAAAGTGGGTGTGAACACTAAATGATGATGAGATTTATCAAAATAGAAAACCTGCAATATGAGATTATGCATCATACTTGAATCTGGATCAGAAGTTCAGCATAAACATAACTTAAATTAAGAATAAATGCCCAACTTCTGATCTTTAAATCTCCCTTTTCTAGTATGATCTGAAGGAGTTCTCAGACTTTTCAGAAAGCTTGTAACATGCTTTGTAGACCTTCTTTGAATTACTCTCGCAAACTATAACTGAACCTACGTGAAAACTGACCCAGAAGTTCTAACCAAATTCTGTCTTAGAAATGCCCAGAATTTACTGAATGCTTCAGTTTCATGGACGTGCCTTCAAGGATGTATAACTTGAAATCCCAGCATTTCTAGGAGAAGTTCTATTCTGCAATGTTTTAGATCTTATTGAGATCTACAACTCTTGTCTTAGAAGTTCTTCCTGAATCATCTTGCATCATGATGAAAATCTGGCCAAGAGTTCTGATTCTATCATCTTTTCTTAACACTTAGAAAAATTTCTAAGTGTTTAGAATTTTGACTTTTAATTTTCTTGATGAAACAAACTTCACATTCTAACATGCCTTGATGAAATATGATTCTTGAAACTTGATTTTTGATCCAAAAGTCAAAGTTTGACTTCTCAGTGTGCATTTTGACCATTTTGCCCTTGTGCCAATTCCAAACCTAAATTGATGAAGCAGTGTTTCAAACTTGAGTCATGGAAGATCTTTTGAGAAAATTCTTGAGAAATGAGAGGGAAAATTTTGGGATACAATAAAGAGAAATGTGAATACACTTGCATCTTTACAACCTCAAGTAGAGTTTAAAAAGTTGCCGATATTGTATCATATGAGTCAACCTTCAACTGAAAAGCCGTGACAAATAGACTGATAAGAACAATGATGCAAGCAAGATTATTATTTCTAAGAAAAATACATAGATTGAGCTTACTATCTTCAGATAATTCAACAAAGAACCATGTAACATATTTCTGAGCTTGTCAAAGGGATATACCATGTGACCCATTCTGATTGATTCTTCAAGTTGGTATAGTAACTGCTCAATAGTATGTACGAGAACCAAAGAGCAAATGGTCTTTTCCTTTTAACTATATCTACCAGCCTCCGCAGAATATGGACATTAGCAACATAAGTACAAGTGAATGAACAACAAGCAAGTATGATCATTGTTTTTGCATCATGAACATAGATCACATGCTACATTAATCTTACTCAAAGCAACCACATTACATAAATCATGCATATTTATGTTGTATTATCCAATGTTTTAAAAACCAAACCAGATATAGAATTGGTGACACATGAGTCATAGGTGATAATTGTACCTAAAGAAACAACGAATGGCATCCAAAATTTGTTTGTCATTTTGTGTTGTATGTAATCCATATTGCACCTGTGCAAGTAGGTAACATCCTAGAATATGATGACGTACGCACCATCTACCATCAACATCTTAAACACTTTGAGATGTTTTCTCCTTTAACAAATGTGCTTCTGCCATCATAAGAAATTGCTTTTAAAAAATTTATAAATTGAAATACGAGATACTTTCAATATAGATAACTATAGTAAAGAAACCATGTGAAGCAATCAAATTCCCATTCTAGGAAAGGAAAAGTGAAGTCAAGTAAATAACCTCAGCATCACAATATTGGTCGTACTTGAAAAGAAACATTTGAAGTAAGATTTCATCAAGTATTGAAACAAGCAATACCTGATGAAAAAAGAGTTCCTTTGAGGCATTTCGTGGAACAGTTCATGTTCACTTGTAAATTAAGACAAGCAAAAAGAGAAATTCATGGAGAGAATGCAAAGAATCTTTCCTTTCACATTCAAAGAATTCTAAAATCTAAATTCATGGTAAGAAAGTTGAAGAGAGAAGAGGAAGAAGATGATTTGAGAGGAGGAAGAAAGAGGAAGAAAACTCTTTTTTATTTTATTTTATTGTTTTTCAGTTATTAAACCGCAATTTGTCTTATTTTTTGTAGTGTTGATTTTTCAGTGACGTGGCGTGGCGCCACGTCAACTTCCGTTAGACAAAATAGACGATAAGGATCAAAATTAGGGACGAAAATTTTTAAAAGGACCATTGTTTGAAGGACTATAAACGAAAGTTGATATATTTATAAGGATCATAAACATATTTAATCTTATATTATAAATAACGGGTAGAAAATATATATTATAAAAAGAAGAAGAAATAATGTTATCTTACAAGTCTTAGAGCTTCGTACTGATAACATATTATGAAATTAATAAGATTCAATATAATAGAAGAATAGAGATGAAATAAAGAAGAAAAAAAATATTTTGAAGAAGAAATGCAAGAATACACATATATCATTATTTTAGAGGTGAATTTTAAATTGATTTTAATTTTAATCTCCTTTTTAATAGAGATTATGAGGTGGTAGTGATATTTAATGGTGAAGATTTATTCTTATATTTTTTATTTTTATGTTTTCTTATTAATAAATATTTTCTAAAATATAATTGTATTATTCTCATTATCAATATTGATTTCAATTATAATATAAATCATATTTATAGAAGATATGTAATAAATAAAAAATAAATTACAATATCCTAATTAATGGTTATCCGTCCTCATTCTATTTATATCATAAAGGTTATCCATCCTCATTCTATTTATATCATAAAACACCTTATATATAAAATTTTATTTTTAAAAACCTGTAATAAAATTGTTAGAAACAGTATGATAGGGGATAATACAAAAGAAAAAAAAAATTTCGCTGTGGTGGTAATCAGCAGGCTGAAAAAAATTGCTGGTAACAAACAAAAATGAAATAAAGTTTTTAGTAGCATGAGTTATCGATGGAGTTGAGCAGTTTTCCGGCAACGAGAACACACACTTCGCTATTCAATTCCCATTTCCGATAAACTATTAGTTTTAACGAAAGTTGAAGCTATCTCAGAACTATAACCTACAACACCTCCTAACCAATAAACGATATTTATCTCACAAAATGTCAATGCTAGAAACCCAAGTTCACAACCAACAGTCTCTTCCCATTTTCTTCAACCCCAGTTCTGATTTTGGGGCCGGCGGTTTGTTTCTCGAACCCTCAATTCCCGATTCCTTCGTTCGTTTCATTTCTTTACGGCTTCCCGCCGTTGCTTCTTCTGAACCAATTCTTCACCGCCGGCAACGGAAAAGGGGTCCGCCGGTTGGGTGCTTTTTGTCTGTGAGCTTGCCGAGTAGTACTACTACTCTTCCTGTCGATCCCAAACCGTACGTATTGCAAAATGGTGAACACGTCTCCCATAAGGAGACAACTGCCGCCGACGGTGTCGTTTTGCCTAAAAAGGTTAGGGCAAGAGAGCGCGGTGCTATCAATAATACCACTAAGCATCTTTGGTCTGGTGCTATATCTGCCATGGTTTCTAGGTATATTTAATTTTTTAATTCCTCACTCCAGGGAAATGAGGTCTTAGTAATTCAGAGCTCGTGCCTAGAGGTCATGACACTGGTCAATATTGTTGATTATTCATTTAGAAACACTATATCAACTGCTGTTATATGTTTTTTTATTTTATCAGAACCTGTGTTGCTCCACTTGAAAGACTTAAGCTGGAGTATATGGTTCGTGGTGAGAAGAGGAATATCTTTGAGGTTATTAAATCAATTGCTACTTCTCAAGGGTTCAGAGGTTTTTGGAAAGGGAACCTTCTAAATATTCTGCGGACGGCTCCGTTTAAAGCTGTTAATTTTAGCGCGTATGATACTTATCGAAAACAGCTACTTAGATTCTCTGGAAATGAAGAAACTACCAATTTTGAAAGGTTTATTGCGGGTGCTGCTGCTGGGCTCACTGCTACTATTATTTGCCTACCACTTGACACTGTATGTGGTGGTGATTCGAATCATGAACTTGCATCTCTTAGCATAAATTTGTATTTCAGTACAATCATTTTAAAAATTTACTTTGTGCGCCTTACAGATTCGGACCAAGATAGTGGCACCTGGCGGTGAAACTTTGGGTGGTGTAATTGGTGCTTTCCAACACATGATACGAACTGAAGGCATCTTTTCTCTATACAAGGGTCTAGTACCGTCACTTATAAGCATGGCTCCTTCTAGTGCTGTTTTTTATGGTGTATATGATATGCTAAAATCATCTTATCTGCATTCACCCGAAGGAATGCAAAGAATCCAGAATTTGCATAAACAGGGTCAGGAACTGAGTGCCTTTGATCAGCTTGAGTTGGGGCCAGTAAGGACATTGTTGTATGGGGCTATTGCTGGTGCATGTGCAGAAGCTGCTACGTACCCGTTCGAAGTTGTGAGAAGGCAGCTTCAATTGCAAGTCCAGTCTACTAAATTAAGTTCTTTAGCAACTTTTGTCAAAATAGTGGAACAAGGAGGCGTTTCAGCCCTCTATGCTGGACTTGTTCCCAGCTTATTACAGGTATCGAATTCTTAATTTTGTTGCCATGCTCTTGTCACTTGTACTTTAATGGACTTATATTTATCAGTTTTGAATATCTATTTTCTGAGGACTTAGAACTATTATGCAGTAGTACCCAATCTGTTCATATTTATTATTCCTCGCTAATATTAGAACTACTTAAAGTTTATAATGTAGAGAGTGTAGATTAAGGTTCATGTAGGGCGTTGTTTTGTTTTTACAATCTGAATTCCATTTACATTTTACTGTGGTGCTCAAAGGCTGCTGGCTCTATATAGTCATCTAATCTCCTCAGCACTTTATGAAATGTTTTGATTGTTGCTATAAGATTATTTTCCCCATAAAATTTCATAATATCAATTGTTTATGCCAAAGCAAAAACCTTTTTTATCATGGAAATGTATATACCGTACATGAAAACAAATCTATGAGGCTTTATGGTTGTCTTCCTCTTATCTAAATTTAGATCCTAAATAGAAGTATGTTTCCATTTAGGAAATATTGCTCTCACGGTCAAGATAGTTAGAGTCCCGATCCTATGCAAGAACAGGAAGGGGTCACAATAGCGTAAATCACATGATTGTATCATATGGATAGGAAGATCCTACTAATTTCAAACAATCAAGTAAACAATCAATCATGTATATGTATATAAAACAACTTCCAAGTAAAAAAAAATTCAAATCACATCCAAAATATTTAATGAAACTCAAATTTAGGATCATAAGATTCCTCACATAATGTCATACAAAATTCATAAATGCCACAAACAACTAAGACCATGGATATAAAATGTCAAAGGGAAAGAATATAAATCAGAGCAGTTAGAAAACAGAGGGAAAGGGTCAAACATCAAATAGGATGCTGCTTAAGGGTAGCACTTGCACCAGTCCAGAAATTTACTTCCTCGTATGAGTCTATGAAATGGAAAGGGTGCACATGCATGATCGGAAGGCAGTAATTTTCACCCCTACACAAGTTTTCTGGTTTGTAAAAGTGGTCCAGTGAGTATAACTTACCTGAACACTTTATTGCAACTGATCCAGTGAGTTAATTTCTCCACCCGATAACATTTTTTTTACCTTTCCGAATTGTTTATCGGATTACTTTAAAAAGCTTTCCGGAAATTTATCTGCGGTTTATTCGTTGATGGCTTATTTCTTTGATGGAAGACAAAATCAGAGTGCAAAAACAGAGCAATTCAAATATGAGAGGAATTATGGTATGTGGACGATTTCATAAAATTAAGAGGTTTAGCGACTTAGAAACTAAGAGCGGCACCCTTTCATTCGCTTTAAACAGGATTTTTTTAGGGTTATTGAAGGCTAATCTTTGTTTTAAGGAACTGGGTCGCGTGCCCGGCCCATGAGCAACTGATATGCTTAGAAGCAAAAAGAATCGCCCAACTTGCTTGCACAATTCCATTGGCGCTATGGCTCTGCATAATTCCATTGGCGCTATGGCTCTGCATGTCAATCCCAGCTGCTCCCACCAATTAACGATTCTTCGCATGCACGAATAGGGCGAGACATAGCATTATTGCAGAATAGCAGGATTCTATGCTCTGACTCGTGATTTAACTTACATGCTCATGGTCCTTTAAGTTATTTAATTCTTCCACAGTCCTTTATTGTTGGCCTGTATATCCTCAAGCAAAAAAGAACACAACATGACCAACCAACCTGCAACCCGTAGTCATTTCAGCCCCAAACATTTCTGGGAAAATGAATGAAAAAATGAGTATTGATTTTACAATGATTTTCACAGTGGATATTGTAGTGGCTTACAAAAAATTTTAGAGACTGGTGAGATGGAATGTTTCACGACTGTGGCTGGGAAGGTTGGACTCACGGGACACAGTGCTCCAATCTTGGAGAGGTGGAGACAACAGACCTCCCCTTCTTCTCCATATTTTATGTTTCTCTCTATAGCTATTGTTGCTGCCTTCACTTACTGCTGTTCTGTGATGATTCTTTCTGTGTAAAGGTGGATGATAGTTAGTGTCTAGTGATGGGAGTTAATGGTGGATAGATGGTGGGCTATGGGTGAAGATGAAACTCCCTCTTACACTCTTCTTTACCGCTCTGGATTTTGTGTTTTATTCTTTTTTCATTTTCCTCTTCTCTCTCTCAAACTCTTTTTTTGTTTTTGTTTCTCAGTTTCTGTTTTTAGTAGGGTTTTTGTGATGAGTCAGAAACAGGTAAAATTGTGAGAAAAAATGATAGGCTATATAAGCTTTAAACTAATGATAAGTGAGTATAGTGATAGGCTATAAGAAAACACTACAAATTTGTAAAAATAAGTTATAAGTGAGAAAACGACAGTTACCAAACGAGTCTTTTATAGTCATATGGGCTTATATGCTAGCTAGCTTATTGTGCTTGCCAAACAGACCCTAATTTGATTTTTTATATAATAAAAACACAACAAGGATATGGTGTAGGAATAATACATAGTCAAGCGTATGGGCTTATATGCTAGCTAGCTTATTGTGCTTGCCAAACAGACCCTAATTTGATTTTTTATATAGTAAAAACACACGACAAGGATATGGTGTAGGAATAAATACGTAGTCAAATCAACAGTAACATCAGCATCATAACAGCCTCATAGACATGTTTTTATTGGATTTAGACAGAAACTCAAAGAGGTCAACCGTGTGCTTGTTATGAGAGTTAAGGACCTTCTTGATAAAAAAACATATAAGGCTCATGTGGCACACTTAACAACGTAAAGGACCACATGATCAATTTTTCCTTTCATTCATTTTATTTATTTCTGGTTTCATGCTGCTTATGATTGCTTTCATCTTAACCATAAAGGCTTAATAAATTTGTTTTGATTTCCCATTCTCAGGTGCTTCCTTCAGCATCAATTAGTTACTTTGTGTATGAGTTCATGAAGATTGTCCTCAAAGTAGAGTGAGTTGGCAATGAATAGATGAGATCTTCAATTTTATATGGATAAGCAGTAGCCTGATTTAAGTGAGCATCTGATACTGTCGTGGAATGGTAATTTCCAACTTCAATGGGCTATATTTGATCTCTCAAGGTTAAAGTAAAACCATAATGGTCTACCATTCCATACTAATGCCGATGCCATCATGTTATGGACATCACACATATTACTGTTTTGGACTGGCTTTACAGTTGATTATCAAAAGCCTCAAGTCTGCAAAAAAAATTAATAGCAACTGCGGGGTCCTAAATCTTATGATTGTTCCGTCTTCACATTTTTGTTAACATTTTGTTTTCTGGCAGTGGACTTGATTATCAGCATGGTCAGTCCAAGCAAGCAAGTCCCTTTGCTTTAGGTTGTAACTCTTAAAGTAGCTTATCCATTATTCTTGGACATTTTTTTACACCCAACAGGATATTCTACTTGTGAATGCACACGATTTGCAGTATATCACAACTAAGGAAGTTCAAAAGTGTTTATGCAGTGGTTTGTTTTCACTTTTCAGTTTGCTGTCTGTCATCAAAATGACTAGTTATGTTTGGGAGAGGGAAGTGTTTAGGAGATACATACAAATTTCATATTTGATTGTGATTGGTTTGTGGTGTGAAACATGTCATTTTAAAAAATGAATGTCAGGTTGTTGAAATGTTAGTAAGCAAAAGATTAACAAGTCAAATGCAGTTGTTTCTATTATGGAAAATGGGGGCATTTCAAAAATGAATTTTGATTATTGAAAAAGGATATTAATGAAAAGGAATCTAGTGCATTGATAAACTATGGTGTAATCCTTCCTATGTGAGAGATGCGTATAAGATCAAAAATATCTTTAACACAGGTCAGAAGAACATGATACTGTTTTGCATATGAGAATTGTATCAATTGTCCAAGTCAACAAAAGGGGTGATGAACTTAGAACTTCCTCTGGGAAAATTGTTCACTCACAATTCGTCACAGAACACTCATGAAATGTTGCACCTTTCATTTCAAATCTTTTGAAGGGGGTTTTTCCCCGCAAAAAGGCAAGCACAAAAAACATGAATGATTCTATAAAAGGGATCACTCTACATACAAATTTGAATATGAAATCCCTCTAGTTTATACACTTAGATCCACTTCTTGTGTTCAGTTATACATAAAATCGAGTAAACTATTATTCTGTACTACCTACATTAGTACCAAAACAACACTATGATAACCATTTGGAGAGGCAAAACATATAACTTAAGAGTGTGCAAATCAAAACTCATCAATCATTTGCCAGATAAACACATGAAAAGTGGGATGATCTCATTTTCTCCATCCCTTTGATTTTTCTACTGAAAATTGAAGTACCTAGTCAACAATCACTCTAGCAGTTCATAGATTACACCAGTTATCCAAATTGAGATTAAAAAAAAAGCTATTACCACCAAAAAAAAACTTTTAACAATTAGCCACATACATACTTCCACCATTTTTTAATAGCATATCCATAAATTAAGCTATAAGTAATCACCCTCAGAGAAGACTTAGTAAACCTGTATCAGAAAGAAGAAAAATTCAATTAACTTTCATCTTTCATCCATGCAAAATCAGAGAAAACTATCAATCTCAAAGTCAATTCAAACATGTATTTACTCACTAACAGATTCATCAAATCTTAGTTAAAGAGAGATGCACCTTCGAAATCCAGATCCATAAAGAAAAGCAGCTTCTGTTCTTTCCTCAACAGTCACAGGATAAGGCCAACGTGAAATATCTCGATTGAAATAGTCCCAATCAGGTAAAAGAAGACAAGAAATTCCAACAAGACCCAACACATAGGTAACCAACATTTTCTTGAAAGAGTGTGTGCATATACCAACTCCCAATATAACTACTGCTAGCCAAAGTAGACAGGTTCTTAGGGCTGCATCATTTGCCATGGTTGTGACTTGTGATGAGGTTGGTGAATGTCACTAGCCAATTCAAGAGACTTTGGGATTAGATTCAATTAAATTGGTGATATTGTTATTTTTGTTAGTTGTTATGTTGTGTTATGATATTGATGAATTAAATGAATGAAGGGCCATACAAATGCAATTACGGCATTGGTGAGGAGTGAGGCATAGTTAAGAAAGATGTATGAGCTTTAAATGCTAACTCAACTGTCCCTTCTATAAACTTTAAATGTTTTAATTTAATGTCCTACTGTCTCATAGTTGTCAACTTAGAATCGGGTTGGGGAGTGTTATTTCCTTATTTGCTCTCACCTCCTTCCATGACAGCGATAATGTGCATAACAAGTAAATTTTATTCATACAAAACTCAAATGATTGCTATATACTTCAATGTACATTAATGAAAGATGGGTTATGTATGAAAGTTCTGGTGCACTAATGCAAACGAGTTTGAAGACATAAAAGAGTTTAGGTTTGTGGATTATGGATGCCCTTATCACATGCGTCTTAAGGAAGGGATATTTTGAGAATTTGAACTAAAAAGAAGGTAGAGTTGTCCGACTTGGTAATAATAATGTTTGCAAGGTTCATGGTATTGAATCACTTAGATTCAAAATGTTTGATAATCGTGAGTTACTTTTGTCATACCCCAAAATTGCCCAATCAATTTCAATATTACTATATTACTAATTTATAATCATATTATATTATTTATTCGACAAAGGGTATATATTCATAAGATGGTGTATCGCTTCAAAATGGACCATCAAAATCTGTTTACCCATTAAGTTTTTCATAAGGTTTGTTTATAGAAAGGGGTATATTTTTTGTTTCACTCTTGGACAGGTCCACGTCAGTTTCTATACCGGTCCATTAAGATTGCTTTTGTTTTTGGTTAAATAAGAGAAGGGTGTTGTTTCGTAAAAATAAAGTTTAGCTTGTCTTTCTGACATGTATCTTTCTTTGTCCTTTTCCAACTCATGAACTTTAACTTTAATTTTTCTAACTCTTCCATCACTTCTTTATTGCTATGACCTTTCCTCTTTTGATGGTTACCTAAATATGTTTGAGTCACCCCGAATCCCTTACCTCTCACACGACCAGTATACTCAGAAACATTTAATACTCGACTAAGTATGCTCCTGCAATCATGGTCTTCAGCTTGAGTTAAAGATTGAGATAGATTCTCCTGAAATTCATATGCATAGGTAATAAATTAGTGGTGATTAAAACTCATAAATTCTTTATGTTAATAAACTTTTGATTTAATTAAAGGGATATTGATATACTTACACATTGCTCACAAATTTGAAGCACATCTTCCTTAACAACTCCATCCTTACCCACCCGGGCAGCCTTCCACAGAACATGTTCCCGAAGAGATGTTTCTTGACTTTTCTCCTCTTCTAACTACACATTAAGAGAAATAATAAAATCAATAATAACACATGATGAACAAGTATATAATAGCATTTATATATACTTACAAATCTTTGTTGTAAGCGTGTATATCCCATACGCCCTTTTCTGTATGAATATGGGGGACTTGATACTCGTTGGCGATTCACGACACTCACATCCTGAAAATCTGAGGTTCTTCGTTTTTCTTTAAAGGTTTCCCATTCTTTAGGCGAAATCAAGCCTGCATACGCCTTTGGAAGTTCTGCATCGATAAAATTGTTATCGACACCCCTAAGAAACTTATTTGTCAAAAAATATTGAAACCCTCTTAGTCTTTTTCTGGCCAATTGAAGACAATATGATTTTCGATCATCATCAATGTTAAAAGACCTCTATAAAAAACATACATAGAGTGCGTTAGTAATTTAAAGACATAAGCGTCAACAAAAACAAATGACATCACATATGACATTTGTATATCACTCCATATTTTTTCTTTAACGAGTTTCAACTCACGCTTTCTCCAATCATCACAAGTGATTGGAACTTCTCTCCTCACAAGGGAACCAATGTAACTTGTCAACATTGAATCATTAGGCGCAATTAGTTATTTGTCTTCATTCCAATGTATGTCAAATTTGATACCTTTGTCTCTTGCACGACTGATTGACTTCATAATTGTTATTCCTCGTCTAATGTCATTATCCACATCACGAGCTGATTTATTTCCATCATTATTAGAAGCGGAATGTGATTTTTCCTCATTACTAGTCATTTGACCTGTAATATTAAAGAAAAACATAAACACCATATAAAATTCAAGTAGCATTGAATGAATAAACACAATATAAAAACAAAAACACAATATAAAACCATAAACATAATATAAAATCAAAAACACAATATAAAAACATAAACACAATATATAACAATTTTATTGAATGACATAACATATAACATTTTACTAGTACCTTTTTCACTAACATCTCTTTCGTTTCTTGGTTGGAATATGAGTTATTTGTCTCTTAACAACTCAGACGGGTGGATTGATCCAAATTCCCTCATTATAATCATTTCTAATATATGATTCATCCGCTATAATATTCTCATCTTGATCATTTTGTATATACGACTCATTTCCTATAACATATGACTCATTCTCAACATCAATATCACTTTGATTTACACAGTTATCATCAATCAATTTGTTAGATAAAAGCACTATAGACAATTTCGTACTTGTCAGATCAGTGACATAGAACACTTGTTTAGCTTGAGAGGCTAGAACAAAAGGCTCATCTTTGTATCCCATCCTATTAAGATTCACTTGAAAAATCCTGACTTATCCATTCGTATGCCACTATTATGTACCCACTTGCAACCAAAGATAGAAATCTGAAACTTCTCATAATTATATACTCAAATATGCTTGATAACCCCAAAATATGACAAATTTCCATATTTGGGGTTTAAGTTATTCATACTTGAAATGTGCATTGCTTTAGCTACAACTGTGACACCACTATTTTGCATAGTACTTTTATCATCTTGTTCTTTGGTATAAAATGTTTATCCATTAATTGCGTATGCGCTATAAGAAAACACGAGCAAACTCTGACCATATGCTAAACATCTCAACCTTTCTAT